TTTATTTATTTATTTATTTATTTATTTATTTAAATTTGACCATAGAGGAATAGAGTGAGTGAGTGAGAGAGAGAGTGAGCCAGACTCCAGGTCAGGGACTTGAACCACAGTCAACCACGTAGGAGTCTAGCACCCTAACTACCATGTCATCTGTAAGCTCCTGAATATCCTTTTAATTTTTCTGGTTTTCCTCTTCTTTTTTTCCTTAATTATTAATTTTTATGATTTTTTTTTTAAGTTTGCTATAGGGTATGTATGCTCACCAAAGAGTGAGAAAGTGAGAAAGCAACCACCAAGTTCAGGACTTGAACCATGGTCAGCCATGTGGGAGTCCAGGACCTTAAACATCACATCACCTGTTTTTCCCTTGATGTTTTATTTTAAAATCACTTTTATTCAGATATAATTTGTACAAAATAAAATTCACTAATTTTTAAGTCAATAATTTAATGCATTTTAAAAGTGTTAAGGGAAAAGCAATTTCAACCACAAATACTATACCCAGCAAGATTATCCTTCATATGGTAAAAATTGTTTATTTTTCTTTTGTTTATTGTTATTTTTTTTAATTTGCTATAGAGCACATGTGCTCAGCAGAGAGAAATAGACAGAGAAAGTCACAGAGCATCCACCAGGTCCAAGACTCAAACAGTGGTTGATCATGTGGGAGTCCGGTGCCCTAACCGCTACACCACCTACTGGCCCCAATTTAATGTATTTTAATGAATGTATACAGTAGTCTAACTTATCAGTTTAGATATATTGGGCATTATTTCCCATCAGTTCAAAAAGTTCCCTTATGTCTCTTTAACAAGCAAGGGTCACCACAATCCTGAGCTGCTTTTTATGTTATTAAGAATGTTAATAACTAGTGATAATACTCACACATGCTAATAAAGCTCTTTGGAAAGCAGTTTGGCAGTGTCTTTTTGACAGTGTATCTTAGTTCCCTGGTAAAGAAGGAACATAGGCTTTTAAGACAGTCATCTCAAGCCCTCCCAACTGCCATCCAACTATAAAATATTCATGATCTTAGGAACATGATTGCTTGAAAGGCTAGAGAAATTACCAGACAGGAGAAAAATATCCTTTCATTTTTATCTTAAAACAGGAGTATCAGGCTCTAGGATGATATATCTAATTATGGTCCTCACCAAGGAGAATCAAGTCTATTGTGGTAGCTATGAAGACAATGCTTTGTTAAAGTAGAAGGTCATGTGTCTGTGTTCAGGATCTTTAGCTTGTGCGCAAACAGAATGTAACAAGGCAAAGGTATGAGAAATGGTTGGGTGCTTGGTATGTTTCACAAGGGACTGCAGACATTACTGGCATTTGTTCTGCTTTTACAATAGTTAACTCATTGTATAATAGAAGAGAAAATAGTTTTTCTCCATTGGCAGAATCAAAAGATATTTTCCCATAGCTCATTTGAATCTCTTGGTATTTGGTAGTGTTGCTGCATACTGAGTGGATTACTGTGTGTGATCTTATGCTGTTTTCCCCTAGGACAAACCACAGTTAAGGAACTTCTCTTTGCATTTGAAAACTGACACAGAAGCTTCCTAGCAACTGATCAGTTAAAGCCCTTTTTTTTTTTTTAAACAGGAGCACTTTCCCACCTTCTTTTGAGATTAGGCTGAGTTCTATTTTTTTAAGGGAAACCAATTTTGAATAGCACATTTCCGCTCTGAACAATGGAAAGGTCACTAGCTGCACTTCTTTGCAGCACAGATGGGTATAACATGAGGTGTATAGAATGAGGCAGATTGCTTTACTTCCATCCTTTTCTTTCCTTTAATATTAGCTGTTGCTTTTGCTTGAGTGGTTGGACCCTGAGGAGGCAGAAACTATGAGTTGTTGTATGTGTATGCAGCATTTTAAAGCATGTAAATGACAAGATCTTCTTGTATACATACCTGATTGACCTAACTAAAAACCCTAATTATATTTCCACAGGAGTCTCCTCAGGACAGTGCTATCACCCGGGATATTAACCGGACATTCCCAGCCCATGACTACTTTAAGGATACAGGAGGAGATGGACAAGATTCTTTATATAAAATATGCAAGGTATTTAATGTCAAAACAACAATTCACTTTTGAGTGGTTTGTTCTAGTTCTTTGAAATTATGCAAAAAACAACTACAAAGTGTAATTTTTATTTGATATTCAAGTATACAAAAAAGGAGAGACAAGACTGTAAAATCAAACATAACACTATTGTAGGCTCACCAAAGAACAGGAAATAATGAGAAATAAAGTGGTAGGATTTCTTTTTTCTCTTTTATCAGAATGTTCAGATGACAGCCACCTGGCACCACAGTTTAGACTTTCAAAAATTGGTTTCATGTAAAGAGCTTCTGAGCCCAGTAACACTGCAAACTCCTTTTCAGTATTCACATTGTAAGTGATGAACATGGCACCTGGGGTCCTGTCCAGCAGTGGGAAATGCCAGTGTCCCTCCAGGTGGACTTACAGCATAGCAGCATGGTAAATGGTGGCAAACATGGAACACTTTAAGAAGTTTGTGGGAAAATGGACTTAAAGTATGAGTTCATTGTAGTGTAAAAATTGAGATCCCTGCATAATTTTTTCATAATATACATTTTCCACGAACTTTCTGCAGAGCCCCATACTGTCTTATGTCAGAAATGTTGTACCTGAATACATTGAGGAAATGGTAACCTGTTCAGTTTCAGTAATCCATTTTCAAATAGATTTTTTTAAAGAATTATTTATTTAATTTTATTTATTCATTTATTTATTTCAATTTGACCAGACACACACACACACACACACACACACACACACAGAGAGAGAGAGAGAGAGAGAGAGAGAGAGAAGGAAAGTGAGAAAGCAAGCCACCAGGCCTGGGACTCGAGCAGTGGTCGGTCATGTGAGAGCGTCCAGCACCTTAACCACCATGCCACCTGCTAGTCCCCCATTTTCAAGTAGATTTTGGTCTTTCAAGGTTGTAGGGCTATAAAAGGATTTGGGGGCCAGCAGGTGATGTGGTGGTTAAGACACTGAACTCCCACCTGGCCATCCATGGTTTGAGTCCTAGACCTGGCAGCTTGAAAATCACAGTGGCCATGTGTGCATACATGCACAGAATCCCTAGAGGAGCATGGAAGAGAAGGAATTGTAGTGTGGCCATTTTTCACTTTCTCTCTCTCTGTCCCTCTCTGGTGATGCCCTATGGCAGAAAAAAAAAAAACAAAAAACTAAAAAAAGGAGTCGGGACCAAAGTTCTTCAACCTTCATCTGTCCTGAGAATTAGTATTTAGTCTTTCCCCCACAAAAAGTAATCAAATACTTGATAGGTAGTAAGTACAGACAAGGTATGAATCATATCCTTAAGGAACTTACATTGTGATTGAGAAGGCAAAGTGAATAATAGGCCAGCAATGAAGGATACGTTCTCCAATGATAAATTAAATTATGTAAATTGTAAGGGCAGTTTAGAGTTTAGAGAAACACTTCTTATTTAATTTTAATTTTCTCATAAGAAAAAACACAGAGCTGTGATTTCTATTGTAATTTCAGATCATCTTGTTAGCCACTTCTCAATTTTTCCCACTTCAGCAGTCTAGCTAGCTGTCACTTTACTGCAAAAGTTCCCAGAAAGAAACTGTGCTCTCTCCCTCAGGTCCTTCATCACATTCCCCTGACCCCACTCAGCCTAGTTTATCTCATGAGGAATCTTCCTTGCAGCTCTCTCTGCTCCCAACTTTTCACCCATCTAAATATACTCTTATCTCTCACAACTTCACCAGTTCCTTCATTATTTTATCTTACTCCACTACCCCTAAAACTGAGGACTCCCCTAGGTTGATGCTTGCTCTGGCTCTACGCCTATCTCCCTGGGTGATCCCTAGCACTCTAAAATCTTCAGCTATCACCACTGTACAAATGTTCCCAAATCTGCATTTACTCACAGCCTTGTTTCTAGCTGCCAGTTATTTCCCACATCAGAGTCAAGTACATCAAACAAAACAGGTCTAAAAATAGAGTTCACTTAAAAACATGTTTTATTATGAAAAATCTAAAATATGCACAATTGATTAGCGTAGTGGATTTGTTTACAGTCCCCACCCCAGTTCAGTACCTATCAACATATTGTCACAGTTGCCTGCCTTATCTTTCCCTTTTTCCTTTTTGATGAAGTACTTTAAAACAAACCTTAGACATCATAATCCTAAATTCTTCACTGTGTGTCTCTATAAAGGAAGTTATTATCCATATATATCATCCAGTACCTACTCCACATTCAGATTTGCCTAAGTATCTTTATGTGGTTGGGTAGAGTCAGAATAGAATATAAGAAGATCTGCCTTACTGTTTTTCTTTTTAAAAAGAATATTTATTTAATGAGAGAGAGAGACAGCATGTGTGTGTGCATCCTGACCACAGCACCCTCCACAGAGCTCATTCTGCCATCCTTCCCCCATCGTCCTAGCCAGGTGTGCACATCTGATCTGTACAGGTCAACCCAGGAACCAAACTTTCATTTTCTGTATGGTTTTCAGCAGTGCAGAGCATTGGACTACTGCTGTGCCACCATGGCTAGGTGCTACATTTCATTTAGTTGTAGCTTTTTAAATTTAAAAAAGTACTCCTTTTTTTTCCATGTCATTGTCTTACTGAACATATCATTACTTGTCAATTTTCGGTCCCTTCCTTTGGCTAAGTTGAATTTGATATGATTGATGCCTCCCTATCCCTTGCCCTGGTATAGGCTTACATCCTACATTGCTGGCACACTTACAGAACTTGCCTGGAATTAGTCTCCTTGCTTTTGGGCTCTGTTTTATTTATTTTCTCTGTGTCAGCCATAGAATTGAGTCATTTCACTGGCAGCAGCCTCCACAAACATTGTTACGCTTCCCCATAACCCAAAGAATGAAATAAAACCTCCTTAGTTTTGTTTTTGTTTTTGTTTTTTAATTTGCCAGAGGGCTTATGGGCTTACCAGAGAGAGAGAAAGAAAGAGATGGTACCCCCTGTGTGGTATGATCACAGGGAAATCCCTTTTTATTTCTCCCTCCTTTTGGAACTTTGGGCACACATGCCAGACATGTTTTTTTAAGCCACTGGGTCTGGGACTCAAACTGTGTAGCTGGCCATGTGAGCAGCTTCCTTAACTACCAGGCATAGTTGGCCTATCCCTAGTTGCTTTCTGGTTCTAGATTCCTCAGCCTGGTGTTGAAGGTATTTTATAATACATCCTGAATTATCCATTGCTGCTACTTCTTCAGATAGTTTATGCTTCAGCCACTTTGGACTTTTCACTGTACTCTGGTTGATTTACTTATCTAACTTCCCCACCAAGCTGTAATATGCTCAAGGACAAGAATACTTTACGTATGTTAGTATCTATAGCACTTGGCACAGTGCATGCTTGGCATATAGTAGGCGTTCCTTAGTGAGACATGTTTTCTTACCCATATTTTATTACAGCTCCCAGGAACCTATATTTAAGACATCTCCCAAATGTATCTCATAATTTCATGCCTCTACACATTTCTTCAGTCTCTCCTATGAACTTGAAAAATACGTCCCCTTCCATTCTCTACCTAATAGAAAGTATTTTCATCCTACTCTGTAATTGCTTAAGCTATGTGCTGAGCTTTTTACACATGAGGATAGAATGAGAATAATAAATACAACAACTCTGTGATATAATTTCATATTTATTCTTAGCTTATAAATAAAGAATATAAGTAATGTACCCATGGTCAAAATATAAACATTAGCAATTAGGAGATTTCAGCCAATTCTAACCCTAAGGTTTCTGTTCTTTTATAACCAGTAAAGTATTGATTGATACCTTTAAAGACATTACCAAACTGCTTTCAAAAGGGTTTTGTTGGCATATATTACTACTGGTTTTTAACACAATATTAATATTCACAAGTTAATTTGATCAGTAGAAAATGGTACTCATTACAAATCTTACTGAAATCCTGTTTATACAGGCTATTTTTGGAAAAGTATATATGTTTCTTATTATATAGCCCTCTTAGCAAATAAACTATGATGAAATGGGAGTATGCTAAGATTACATTGAGTTCTACCTGAATTTATGGACGTACGATTGTGGATATATATTTTAAAAGCTATAATTTCACCAAAAGCTAATGTTAAAATGAGTTATATATTAACTTATCATCTGATAAGCACTGGCATCACATTTTGCTGAGAGAGAAATTCTAAACACACCTAACTCTAAATTGCCTTATTGAACACAGTGGAAAATTGGCACCAAAAAAAAAAAAAAAAAAGTGGATAACAAAGGAAGTTTCACCAGAAATAAATTAGTCAAACAAAGGAATAGCATCTTGAATCTGCAAGAGTTCACATTTCTACCATAGTTTACATGAGAGCTACAAATACTAACCATGATAACAGATTCAAAAATCAACTATAGGACCAGAGTAAGTAAGTCACAAGGAATGTTAGATGTCAATACTCTATTCAGTGTTCAGAGGAGATGGGTAGTAATCATTTGCTGCCAAGAAAAATAAAACAAGAATTCCAGAGGAGCCCACAAATGGTTTCAAAGTAATTTCTCTTATCAGAAAAGTTATTACTGGCATTATGGAAAGAATTGTGTCTTGGTATCTTTGCCAAAAGACTTTTTCCCAGAAAGAAAAACAACCAACATTAAGTGTTTAGTGAGTGCCTGTGACGTGTGGGGTGCTAGCTAGTTTGAACAGGATATCACCCCAGTCTGCAGGAAGCTTACAATCCAGTAAAGAGGGTGGATTTTGAAATGAATTGTCGGGGGCCAGCAGGTGGCGTGGTGGTTCAGGTGTGGGTCTCCCACATAGCTGACCACTGTTTGAGTCCCTGACCTGGCGACTTTCTCACTTTCCCTCTCTCTCTCCCTGCCTCTGTCTAGTTAAATTGAAAATAATAATAATAAATTAATTTTTAAGAAAAGTAAAGTGCATTGTGGTAAACCCTAAAGTAGCCATGAGTGTGTAGGCAGTACCTCAGAGGCACAGACAAAAAGAGAGTAATTCTTTGGTAATTGAAATATGTTTGGGGCCTGAAGGAAGTGTCGTTTCAGGCAGAGAAAAGGAAAGAGGAAACAGCATGAGCAACAATAAGGAGACATAAGGGTCTTTTTTGTGAAAATTTTTTTTTTCGTAACCTTTCACCTCCTTGGCCATAGGCAGTGGCATAGTGACAGTTCTTATTACGATAAAGAAAAAAATGGGGTCATCCAGAGGCTTTGGCCTTATTCATTGACCACACAAAGCTCCAGTGGGGTGTGGGTCACATCCTAAGATGTGAGGTCCTACAGGGCAGTCATGGCCCACAAGTGTACACTCTCATTTATAAGCTTCTCCTGTTGTGTTTTTCCTCCAGGCTTATTCCGTGTATGATGAGGAGATCGGCTATTGCCAGGGCCAGTCATTTCTTGCTGCTGTGCTGCTGCTCCATGTGAGTAACTTGGTCTGTTAGCACTTTGACATAGCCTGCCTCAGTTTTTCACTAGCTTTCGGCTTGAGCGTGATTTTATATTAGGTTTGGCCAAACTCTTAAACATGAGTTTTAACTCCTATATCTGGAAAGTTTTTCCTTAAATTAACATAATGTCATCATCAAAGAGAAACATGATGAGACTAAATGGCAGTACTGAAAGCTACTAGAAGGATAAACTTTCTTTTTGTTACTAGGAGAGGCTTTAGTGTTGGTTGAACCATTGGGGGCATTTTATTTTTTGTAAAGTAGCTACTGTCATTAGTATTTTTGGGGGGATTTATGTATTGGGGTGAGAGGAAGAAGACAGAGTTGGCTTTTTTTAGTACCATTTTACTTATGTGTTCACTTGTTCAGCAAATACCTTTACCCTCCGACTTTTTGGTTTTTCTTTTAAATCCATATAAAGTTTAAAAAAATACTAGGTTGACCAACTTTGCCTTACCAATTAATTTGTTTCTTTGAGAGTTTTTTTTTTTTGTTTTGTTTTGTTTTTTTTAACTGTAGGGCACGTGCCCTTGCTGGAGAAACAGAAAGCAAGAAATCACTCCTGGGGGGGCAATGGCCATACCACAATCCCTTCTCCTCCATTCTCCTTTTTGGATTCTGGGCATACATGCACATGTGCCCACCGTGAGTTTTTTTCTTCCACCAGAGCCAAGACTCAAACTGTAGTCAGCCACATAGGAGTCCAGCAACGTAACCTTTACATCATCTGCTGGTTCCACCAATTAATATTTTTTCACACTGCTTTCTCTCTTTATCTCTGTTTACATCTCTCTTTTTCTCTTTCCTAAACACAATCAATTTTTTTATTGCAAAAAATTGGTCAGAGTATTTTTCAAAAGTACAAACATCAAAGCACTTCATTTCAAAATACATGAGCTTGTATCTTCAGACAAGGGCATTCTGCAGCATGACCCTAATACCATGATCACATACAAGAAATTCCTCATTAGTTCAGTAATGTCTGATGAATAGTCCACAATCAGTTTTCCACCAATTTTCTAATAGCTTTTATCTCTAATCAAAATCCAGGGGAGAGGGACCAGTAGTTAGTGTAATGGCTATGTCACTGGACTCCCACGTAGCCAACCACGGTTCGAGTCCCGGACCCGGTGGCTTAAACTCACGCTGGGCGCATGTGCGTGTGTGCCCAAGATCCCGAGAGGAGAATGGAGGAGAAGGGATTGCAGCGTGGCCATCCCCCTTGGGGGGTGATTTCTCATTTTCTATCTCTCTGTCTGTCTCTGTCTATCTGGCGAGCACACGCGCCCTGTAGCAAAAACCTCTCAAAAAAAAAAAAAAATCCAGTGGAGATTTGGAACTAGCAGTTAGCGTAATGGCTATGTCTCTGGACTCCCATGTAGTCAACTGTGGTTCACGTCCCAGACCCGGTGGCTTAAACCTCATGCCGGGCGCGTGTGCCTACATACCCAAGATCCCGAGAGGAGAATGGAGGAGAAGGGATTGCGGCGTGGCCATCTCCCCTGTGGGGGTGATTTCTCGCTTTCTGTCTCTGTCTGTCTGGCGAGCGCATGCACCCTATATCAGAAACCTCTCCAAAAAAAAAAAAAAATCCAGTGGAGATTCAAACATTGCATTTGGTTGTCATTTCTCTTTATTTTTTAAAGTTATTTATTTCCTGAGAAAGAGGGAGAGAGAAAGAGACAGGGAGACAATCAGGTGATGTCAACAAGGAGTTTTTGAGTACCTCTTACTAGTCTGTACTGTGTTAGAAAGCAGGTGAGTAAGATAAAGGCTGTCCTTGTGAATCTGACTAGCTTTAAGCAAATAATTAGACAAGTGTGTCATTATTCATTTCAATGGTGCTATGAAGGTATAAGAAAAAGGTTTTTTGTGTGTGAAATTACTACAAAGAAGCTGTATTTAGGTTAAAGGAAACTCTGAGGAGGTAACCTTTAAGGTGCACCCTGCAAAATTAGAAGGGGTATTCTCTTTTATACCTTTCTATCGTTTAACTTTATTTCTTGTTAAGTTTTTATGAAAACTAAACTGTTAAAAAAAAAAAAAAAGGCAAGAGAGTAGAGAACAAGCATTAGTGGCAAAGGGAATTGTACAATACCTAAAAGCCCTGAAACAGAGAACTGCTCAGTGTATAAAAGGCACCTAAAGAAGAGCAGTGTTTAGGGTAGAATTCTAGGAAAGGCCAGGGAGGCAAGATCAAAGGTGTCCAAATATTTCTCTAAGCACCAAGAAACTTTTGAAAAATTTTAAGCTATTCTGCTAAGATTGCAATACAAATAAAATAAAAACATTTGTAATTTCTTCAATAATTTTATATATGTACATATAAAATTTAATTATATTTATCATTATTATTGGGTTATCAGAAAAGTCATAACATAGGGGACCAGCAGTTAGCGTAATAGCTATATCGCTGGACTCCCATGTAGTCGACCACAGTTCAGGTCCCAGACCCTGTGGCTTCAACTCACGCTGGGCCCATGTCGTGTGTGCTCAAGATCCTGAGAGGAGAATGAAGAGAAGGGATTGCGGCGTGGCCATCCCTCCGGAGGGTGATTTCTCACTTTCTATCTTTCTGTCTGTCTCTGTTTTTCTGGCGAGCGCACACGCCCTATAGCAAAAAAGAAAAGAAAAGAAAAGTCATGATGTGTTCTTCTGTCTTTCTGTATAAAAATGTGTCATGAATTTTCCAACAACCCATTATTACTACCTTTTCATAAATTCACTATAGGGCATATGTGCTCCAGAGAGAGGGAAAGTGAGAAAAAGCAAGAAAGCAAGCTGCCAGGTCAGAGATTTGAACTGCAGATTGGCCATGTAGAAATTCAGCACCTTAACCATCACACTACCTGCTGGACCCTTTTCTTAACCGTAAACCTAGCTTGTTGCTATTGGTTATATAAAAGTATGATAAAGCTAGTCCCAGCCACACTGGCACAGTTGTAGTACAACACATTGCAGTGCTGGAAGCCATGTGGAAGACTGGGTTCAGTTCTCCATTCAGCTGGTACAGACTAGGCCAGCACATGCATGCATATGACTCTGAGTACTGAAATCAGCTGGAGTGCAAGGAAGGGATTCTTATCTATCTCTTTCTCTCATCAAACTAACAAACAAACAAGCTATTATGTTAATAAAGGAGTCAAGTTTTTATTTTGTTGTTTTAATCAGGCTTTGTAGCTCAAGGTCTTAAGAACCTGCATGGTTTATCTTTGTTCAGTTCAAGGACTTTTATCCCCTTGAAAAAATGGGTTTCCCAATCTATTAAGTCCTTGGTGCCTTGTTTTGAATTCTGTGCTTGTTGGGCCAGCAGGTGCTTGGGTTAAGGCACTGGACTCCCACATGGCTATTGTTTAAGTTCCAAATCTGTTTGCTTGAAACTCATGCCGGGGCTTGTATGCATGCCCAAAATCCTGGGAAGAGAATAGGGGAGAATAGATTGTGGTGTGGCCATCCCTGCTGGGGATGAGTTCCCATTTTCCTTTTCACTGTTTCCTCTCTCTGGGTGAATGAACATGCCCTATGGCAGAAACCGTAAAATAAAAGATAAATGCTTGTTACAGAGTGAGCATCAGAATATGGGTCAAACTGTATCTCTCACATGTGGGAGGGCCAAGTTGCTTTCCATGACAAAGACCTCAAAGATCTATTCATTTCCCCCAAATATCCTTACCTTTCCAATAGAAATCTGCTGGGCTTTTTTCACTTATTACTTAATGTGATTTGCCCTTTAGCTCTTCTTTATTCTTAGTAATGTCTGTGCTCACCCACGTCCATCATCATGTTCTACAGAAGCCCGCCCACCTTCTTGACTTTTTGGGAAGGCTTGCTATAGTCACACTAAGCCTTAAATTACGTTTTTAGGCCTTTTTTTCTGTTTTGAAAGCTAGACATCTTGCCAGGTTCTCGGGGAAATATTTTTCCATAAAGCTATGGAAGATGTTGATATTATTATAAATAGGTAGCATTTGTAAATAAAAAAAATAGGGTTTTTGTAGCACTTTTAGCATTATTGCAAGAGTTACTTTAGTACTTGAAGGATTACTGAAAACTTTATAATGTGTAAGGCTCTTATGTAAAAAGCTGTGTTTTTATAACAATGATGAGGGAGAAAAACAATTTTACTAGAATAAAATAGCAGCTAAGGGAGGTAAATGATTAAACAAAGGCATCATGATTTGAGAAAGATGAAACTTAAGTTGTATAGCAACCTGTTTCTACTCAGTTCAAAATCTGTCTCCCTTACAGAGCCATTCCTGACTTCCTCAGACAGACACAGGCCTTAGTGTTCTTGTATTCTCACTGATCTTTCTACTAGTTCATATTACAATCACTGTACACTAGTTGTCTGGGAGACTCCTTGAAGACAAGAGTGCTGACAGAGCACATATTGTTAAGTAATTCTTGCCTGAGTGAATGAATGTTACAAAACACAACTTTAGTTTCTACATACCACTAAATTTCCTGGTAAAACAATCGAAAGAGGAATTTAATATGCTGAGAAAACTTCTGTGTATGTTTTCTAATTTTGTTTGTTTTCCTCCTTTGTCAATTACAGATGCCTGAAGAACAGGCATTCAGTGTTCTGGTCAAGATCATGTTTGATTATGGTCTCAGGGAACTTTTCAAGCAAAACTTTGAAGATTTACATTGCAAATTTTATCAGTTGGAGCGCCTCATGCAGGTAAAAAAAAAGGAAAGAAACAGCTTGCATTTGACAGAAGAAGTTCAGAACTAAGGAGAACTAGACAGATGAAATGGTGTTGGGGAGCTGGGTTTCTACCTTCCCCATCCATGGGTAAGGGATAGCTTTTACTTTTATCATTTCTTACTATGCAATGATGATGCCAAGACTAACAAAGTGTGGACCTGATAGGTGTGAGCTGAGTTTTCACTCTTATAAACACCCAAAGATTAGATGACTGTTGCAGGGGGCTTTTCTGCAGCGAACTCAGTCAACAAGACTCACTAATACTCTGTAGCTGACTGCTTAGGAACCTCATAGCAAAGGTGAAGCAGATCTTCCCAAACATTTTATACTTGAAAGGAAAAACTTGCTTTCCAAATACTTGTCACCATTTTGGGGATTCCTCTTTCTTTAGAGCCAGTTTGTGGTCTGGAAAAGAGAGCTGAGTGGAGTGCCAGCATAATACCATATGATAAGTGTTCTTAGCACTTCGGAGATTTTTTAGAAAAACACCAGTATGTGACTTTTTTGGCCTATTCGTGGCAGCTTTGTTCGCCTCCTGAGTAGGAGTGGGACAGCTGCATATGTGCTCTGAACTAATCCGTTTACTATTTCAGGAGTACATCCCTGACCTGTACAACCACTTCCTGGATATAAGCCTTGAAGCACACATGTACGCCTCCCAGTGGTTTCTTACGCTTTTCACTGCAAAATTCCCTCTCTACATGGTCTTCCATATCATCGACCTGCTTTTATGTGAGGTATGTATTGGAGGCCACAGGACTTTGGCTTTTGTTTGCAATGTACCTCCTGTGTCAGCTCTGTCAAAACAATTTGTCCTTTTTAGTCATTTTATTTTAGTGCTTGGAAATCCAGGCTTAAGTGACTCTGGGCTAAAGCAACTGATCGCATTTGTTAAAGGTGCTCTCTGCTGCTAACTAAAAGACTTATTAGACATTTATGTTAGAATCAGATTTGGCTATATTTAATGAAACAACCCAAAAATAACTGACTAAATGAATAGAGACTTATTTCTTTCCATGTAAAAGTAGTCAGAAGGTTGGCAGTATCCTGCCTTCCCTGGAGTATGTTGTATTCTAACAACAGTGTAGAACTCCTGCCATTATATCTGTATTCCAACCAGGAGGTAAGGGGAATGAGAAAGGGTGGGAGCATTCCTTCTTTTAAAAAAAAAATCCTAGAAGTTTCAGTCAGCAGTTTCCTCTTTTTGACCAGAACCTACTTTTTTTTTTTTGGAGAGGATTTTGCTATAGGGCATGTGTGCTCGCTGGAAAGACAGAGGCAGAGAGACAGAAAGCAAGAAATCACTCCCCAGGGGGATGGCCACGTCACAATCCCTTCTCCTCCGTTCTCCTCTTGGGATCTTGGGCATGCACGCCCATGCACCCAGCGTGAGTTTAAGCCACCGGGTCCGGGACTTGGACCGCAGTCGGCTACATGGGAGTCCCCCTGCCATTATGCTAACTGCTGGTCCACCCAGAACCTGCTATTGACCAGAATTCTTATTGGCGAAGATTTAAGTTATAGGACCATATCTAGTTGTCAGAGAGGTGTTTTTGTTTTGTTTTGTTTTGTTTTTGTTTTTGTTTTTGTTTTAAACTAGTTAGGAATTTTCTAAAAATTGGGGGTTTATTACTAAAGAGATAACTATACATGCTAGAGTAACTAATACTCTTTGACATGATGTAATTTTCAGCTTTGGTATGTGTATGTTTTTAAGAAAAAATAACTGAAAATAATACACTGTTTATTATAGAAACTCTAGAAAATATGAATAAAAAGAATTTAAGGGCCAGCTGATGTCCTAGAGGCTAAGGGAGCTGAATCTCACGTCGTCAACCTCAGGGTTTGTGTTCCCAGAACCAGTACCTCGAAAAACATGCCAGGCACATGTGCATGTGTGTCCTAAATTCTGAAAGAGTTAGAATTGAAGAAGGGATTGAAGAGTTGCTATGCCCCATTAGGAGTGCTTTCTTGATTTCTCTTTCTCTCTCTTTCCAGCAAGTATACTCGCATTCTGGCAAAAATTAAAAAAAAAAAAAAAGAAAAAAAGAATTTAAAATGCTTTTAATCCCACTGACCAGAAGTTAACTAGTTTCAATGTTTTGGCATATACTCTTTCCTTTTTTTTATTTTCATATTAATGTCTGCATAATTTTTATATGAAATATTATTTCCAGATGTAATAATAGATATTTTGATTCTATATATGTATATTTAAAAGTATGATTATGTGGGGCTGACAGATGGCATGGTGGTTAAGGGCACTGGACTTCCACATGGCGGACCACAGTTTGAGTTCGGGTCTCTCCCTCTCTGGGCAAATTAAAATAAATAAATAAAGTTAACTAAAAATAATTCCTTTTTTTAAAAAGTATGGTTATGCTATATGTATGATATCCTCTTTCTCATTTCATATATGTGGACATCTATAGATACCATACATACCTATAAAATCCTTTTTTGTTAATCATGCCATATTCAAAATATAAAAATCCATAAATAATTTATTATCTATCACCTAGATTAAAATAATTCTTTTTTTTTTTTTTTTTTTTTTATATAGGTTTTTGCTATAGGGCGTGTGCGCTCGCCCACTCGCCAGACAGAGACAGAGAGACAGAAAGCGAGAAGTCACCCCCTCGGGGGGATGGCCACACCACAATCCCTTCTCCTCCATTCTCCTCTCAGGATCTTGGGCACGCACGCACATGCGCCCAACGTGAGTTTAAGCCACCGGGTCCGGGACTTGAACTGCGGTCGACTACATGGGAGTCCAGCGACATAGCCGTTATGCTAATTGCTGGTCCCATAGATTAAAATATTCTAAAGAATAATATAAGAAATAAATTCTACCAAATATACCATTATTTTTACTTGTATCAAAGTATACCACATACCATACGTACCTATAAAATCCTTTTTTGCTAATCATGCCATATTCAAAACATAAAAATCCATAAATAATTTCTTATCTATCACCGAGATTAAAATATTCTAAGGAATAATATTAGAAATAAACACAACCAAATATACCGTTATTTTTACTGGCATCAAAAGTATACCATTATGTGGATATACCATGATTTATGTAACCAATCTCTAATCTCAAATCTAAACCATGTCTTGTTTCTCACTGTTATAAACAGCCATCTGTTAGGTAGTTACCAAGGGCCAGGCGGTGTGCTAAGTAATTTACATAAACTTTGCAAGTAATTATCTCAGAAAGCCCTTAGAATATTATTTATGGAAACTGAGACCTAGAAATTAAGTAGTTTAACTTGATCAGAAAATATTAGTGTCTCCCCTCACTGTCCTTTGGCCCCACGATTCCCAGAATGCTAGATAAAGCAGGCTGGAAGGAGCCTGAACAAATTTTATTCTAGAATATCAGACTCTTGCACAGAGTGTTTCTGTACTAGATTGGGATAGCACAAGTACAGGAAAAAGATAATTATTTCTTGATAGACCACAATTTTATGGTTTGGAAACACAAAACACTTTAGAAAAACATTCTTTCTTGTTGAATGTGAGATCAGGGTTGGAAAAGTTCTTCTTACAGAAAAGTGGGAAACTCGGTCTACTTCAAGCGGCTTTCAGTGATGACCCCATACATTTTTTTTTCTTTTTTTAAATTATTTAATTTTTCATTTGTTCACTCATTTATTTTAATTTGACCAGAGAGAGACGGTTCACATCCCATGGTTTCCCTGTACATGCTGAGTGAGTGTGCACACCCATTGGCTGGCTGAAGCTGGGCGTGGATTGTAGCATGAAGAACTTGTTGGGGGCAACTGTCTCACTCTTTTTCAAATCTTTTGGAAGAAATAAATAAGCTTTTAAAAAGGTCAATTTAGAATAGGTTTGAAAGCTTTAGAATTCTTTACTATAAACTCAGAGCCCTCTCATGAGACTGAAAATTTCAGATCCAGAGACATTTAGGAAGGTGGGTCGCTATAAGTGCCTCTGAAGGCTGGAGATTCGTTGAGGCTATTATGGGGGAATTAAGAAGGAGTGAACATTTTTATAAATAAAAGAATGAGAAATCACTTCCTGAACAGACTTTAGTTGAGGCTTATTAAACAATTCTTCACTTAAGCTAGTGGTTATCAAACTTCAGTGGACATACATTTCTCCTCGTTACCAAGCATAGTGCTAGCCATCAGATAAACATAAAGAGTGTTGCAGTTAGAGTCAGAATTCAAACTGAGGCTTTGAATTTTGAACGAAATCACTGGCTTCTTGCATCAAACAAGGGGCTGCAAAGAAAACCCAGTTGACAGAGTCTCCTTGCTTACACCACTTAATTATTCTCCTTCATAGATGTATGTGAAATGCCAAAAGGAGTTTGTGAACAAGAAATGAAAAATTTCACTTCCTTGTTAACTAATGACCGATAATGTATTGGGTCGTCAGAAAAGTCACGATGCGTTTTTGCGTAGAAAAACAGAAAAATACATCATGACTTTTCTGACAACCCAATATGTGTCTAAAGAGACAACACATTTATTTTGCTCTCATAAAACATATATATTTTTAAATTTTATTTTTAGCTCTGTATGATAGAGGTAACAAAACAATGAAAAGGTGTATGAAAAGTGACAGTGGTATAAGGGACAGATACATATTAACACTCAGAGTCCCTCAGTCAACAAACTTCAGAGACTGTACCTGAAAGAAATTGTTAGAATGCAGATTCCTGAGCCTTATCCTAAGAAGGCCTGGTTTGATAGTTCTAGCAAGGTCCTGGACTCTACCGTTTGAACAAAACTCCAGGTGATTGCTGGGTACATTGAAGTTGTGTTTAAAGGTTCTCACTGTTATAAACAGCCATCTGTTAGGTAGTTACCAAGGGCCAGGCGGTGTGCTAAGTAATTTACATAAACTTTGCAAGTAATTATCTCAGAAAGCCCTTAGAATATTATTTATGGAAACTGAGACCTAGAAATTAAGTAGTTTAACTTGATCAGAAAATATTAGTGTCTCCCCTCACTGTCCTTTGGCCCCACGATTCCCAGAATGCTAGATAAAGCAGGCTGGAAGGAGCCTGAACAAATTTTATTCTAGAATATCAGACTCTTGCACAGAGTGTTTCTGTACTAGATTGGGATAGCACAAGTACAGGAAAAAGATAATTATTTCTTGATAGACCACAATTTTATGGTTTGGAAACACAAAACACTTTAGAAAAACATTCTTTCTTGTTGAATGTGAGATCAGGGTTGGAAAAGTTCTTCTTACAGAAAAGTGGGAAACTCGGTCTACTTCAAGCGGCTTTCAGTGATGACCCCATACATTTTTTTTTCTTTTTTTAAATTATTTAATTTTTCATTTGTTCACTCATTTATTTTAATTTGACCAGAGAGAGACAGAGAGAGAGAGGGACAGTGAAAAAGCAAGCCACCAGGTCTGGGACTTGAACCATGGTCAGCCATGTGGGACTGTCCAGCGCCTTAACCAGCATGCCACCTGCTGATCCCAACCCCATACATTTTATTTGCCAGGATAGTTCCAAGATAATCCATTTCCTTACCAAAGTCACACTTTTCTGAAGTTGTGGAGTATTATGAGGGCAAACAGTTGAACAATCTAAATACAAACACTGAAAATGTTTTGTTTATTTATTTATTTGGTCTTTTCTCTTTCAGGGAATAAGTGTTATTTTTAATGTCGCCCTTGGACTATTAAAGGTACTTATTTACATGGCATTCCGTATTGAGCACATGCAATATATTGGTCTCAGTCTCATGGTAATCTGTCACTATGCCTTAGCCACTGTCCCCGATAAGTCCAAGTGACTCTGACGAAGGCTAAAACATACCTTCTGGGGATTAAGTGGTGCTGGGATTGAAAATGCTTCTTGTGCATCTTCATAGCATTTTTTCCATATGTAGCTGTACTTATTTTCTTTAAGACTTCCAAGGATGACTTGCTACTGACAGACTTTGAAGGTGCCTTGAAGTTCTTCAGGGTTCAGCTTCCTAAGAGATACCGCTCAGAAGAAAATGCAAAAAAACTTATGGAATTAGCCTGCAACATGAAGGTAAAATAATTGTTGTATTAACTAATGGTTCTTTTCTTGAGCTAATGTGCCACTATTCCTAATCAACCAACTATTAACATTTAGAATATGTAAATAATAATAGTGGTTTTTTTAAAAAAATATTATGTAATTCTTACCTGTAATTCTTACAAGCTTTCCCAGTAAAAAATAAAAGTAAGAATTACATAGTCCAAAAGAAAGCATCATCGTTGTATCTAGTAGATTAAATCTCATTGTCTCTCTCCCTTGAACTCTAGGAAAAGTAGTATTATCCCCATTTTGATGATAAGTCAACAACAGAGAGGCTATTGCCCCCAGTCATACGGCTATTAAGTGGCAGAACTCAGGTTCCATGATTTCTCCTTTGTCCTTATGGTCAGAAATTCCCTGAAATGAGATAGTAATAATAATAAATAAGTAATACATGAAGAAAATCCACTCAGATCTTATCACTTCAAGTGACTTTTCTGATTTGCACAGTTCTCTTAAGGGAAACAGATACAGTGTTCATGTTATTAAAAAGTTGTATTTTTAAAGAAAAAAATCATTGACACAGTTTACTTTGGAATTTGGGGTAGTGTAGAGAAAAATAAATAGTTGTATTCAGACTCTTCTTGAGTACATGAAAAACTATATATGATTCCACAGAGTAGAACTAGGATTAGTGTGTCAAGACATTTGTGATGGGGGTGAAGTTTCACTATGGAGCAAAGAGTAGGTACTTGGAATTGGAGGGACCTGAATTCACAGCCAGATCTAAATTCAGATCTCTATTTTCATCTATTCACGGCTCAATTTCTTCATCTGTTAGATAACAATGGACTCTAGTTCTGGCTGTTTGTCAGGCTGACTAACTCAGACTACTCTGAACACACAGAGAGACTAAATAAAATAGAACCTAAGAACTGATTTATACACCTGGGTGACCTTTGAAATAAAAAAGAGAAATGACCATATGCTTGAAGTAGCTCAAAGTTAGTATATATAAAACTGATACAGCAGCATCCCAGGGAAATAAGGAACCATGTGTAGGTATTAGGATTTTTTCAGTTTTGCTTTTTAATTGCCAGAGGATGTGGGTACTTTCTAGAGAGAGAGGGAGAGAGTAAAAGCATCCCCAGTGGGGTGTAGTCACACTGCAATCCTTTATTCATTTCTCCATCTGTCAGGATTTAAGAAACACATAGACATGCACCTGGTATGTTTTTCAAGCCATTGGGGTCAGGATTCATCTATGTGGAGTTCCCACTCTGTTAACCACCAGGCTGTGGGGGTCAGCATGGCCGACTACAGTTTGAGCTCCGAACCTGGTGGCTTGCTTTCTTCCTTTTTCTCTCTCTCCATTTCTCTCTCTCTGGTCAAATTTTGAAAATAATAATAAATGTAAATAAATAAACAATCTTTTTTTTTTATGGAGAGGTTTTTGATACAGGGTGTGTGTGCTCTCCAGACAGACAGAGAGACAGATTCCCACGTAGTCGACCGTGGTTCGAGTCCTAGACCCGGTGGCTTAAACTCACGCCAGGCACATATACGTGCGTGCCCAAGATCCCAAGAGGAGAATGAAGGAGAAGGGATTGTGGCGTGGCCATCCCACCTGGGGGGTGATTTCTCGCTTTCTGTCTGTCTGGAGAGCGCATGCGCCCTGTAGCAAAAACCTCTCCCCCCCAAAAAAAAAAATTAAAAAAAGAAAGAAATAGTACTTCTAGAAATCACCAAGGTTTTCATTCAAATTAAAGTGTTAAATACTTCACAGGTATTATGACATTTAATGACAGTTTATCATGTGCTAGGTACTGTAGTTAAGAGCTTTTGGTTAAGTGCTCCTATGGGTAAAGATGAACATACTACCATATGTACAGTGCTTAATATGGTGCCTAGTAATTAGTAAGGGTTCAAGAAATGATGGCTACTGCTATACTTTTTCAAGCATTTATCAAATGAACACATAAGATCTTCAGAGAGAATGGATTTGCACAGAGCATAGAACCAAGTGAGTTCTGAGATGAATCTTTGAGTCACTTTTCCCTTCAACCTGGGTCAGCATATAAAATGCTACATGATTATTGCTCGTGATTTTTTCTCTCTAAAGATCTCTTTCCTCACTGTCTCCCTTTCAACCAATGGTACCTTGTTTCTCGGGTCAAAAACTTCACTGTCATCTATGATTCCTTTTTCTCTAACACTCCACTTTTTCACACTCCATATCCAAGCCTGTTATTAAAATAGTCCCTGATCTGGATCACCACCTTTATCACTCACGTCCTAATCTAACCATCATGCTATTTCCTATTTCCACAGTGGCCCCCTCTCTGGCTTTTTCCGATAAAGCTCTCTTTTATTGTTATCATTTTAGTATTATTTTAAATTTAACTTTATTCATATGTATATATGTATGTGTGTGTGTATGTATGTATGTATGTGTGTGTGCTTTTTTTTCTTTTCTTTTTTTTTTGACCAGAGGACAGAGCAAGAGAGAGTGAGAGAGAAAGTAAGAAAGCAAGCCACCAGGTCTGGGACTCGAACTGAAGTCGGCCATGTGGGAATCCAGCGCCCTTAACCATCATGCCTCCTACTAGCCCGTGAATCCATCTCTTAAAACTTTTAAGGCTTCTTATCTCACAGTGAAGCTCAAGAGCTCTTGCCTTGTCCCACAAGGCCTAGCCTAGATATCCTCTCTGACTTCATCTCCTACTACTTCTCCCCTTTCTCTTTCCACGTCAGACACTCTTAATCATGCCAAGCTTACTCCCTCACTCTTGCACTGGCTATTCTCCTGCTTATAATGTTCTTCTGGATGTCGTGGTTTCACTGGCACCTCATCCAGTCTTTGACTCAAATATCAGAGGTCTTCGCTAATTACTGTATCTTACATTGCAGCTGCCCCTACCACCACTCACTTTGTTTGCTTCTCTCTTTTCCATGTCTTATTTGCCTCCACTGGTTTGGAGGCTCTGCAGCAGATCAGGCTTTCTCTCTTTTGTTTACTGCTGAATCCTCAGCATCAAGAACAAGCTCTCTCACATAAATATTGGTTGAATGAGTAAAGAGATAAATATGTTGTTTCTACTAAGTGTTTTTACAAAGAAGAACTAGCATGAATATAGGTAAGGCTTAAAAATAGCTTCTAGCTAGAAGTTTTAGCTTCTGGGTTTTCATTAGCTTGAAACACTTTAATAATATATAGACCATTTATTTCTGGAGTCCAGAGGGGAAGTGTCTGTTTTTCTCTTGCCTATATGCATAGACACTGAGTTAAGGCTGCTTTCAGTATGTATCCATAGCACATGTTTTTTTTTGTTTGTTTGTTTGTTTGTTTGTTTGTTTGTTTTGAAAGGTTTTTGCTATAGGGCGCGTGCGCTCGCCAGACAGACAGAGACAGAGAGACAAAAAGTGAGAAATCCCCCCCCCCCCAGGGGGAATGGCCACGCCACAATCCCTTCTCCATTCTCCTCTCGGGATCTTGGACATGCGCCTGGCGTGAGTTTTTAAGCCACCGGGTCCGGGACTCTAACCACAGTCGACTACGTGGGAGTCCAGCGACATAGCCATTATGCTAACTGCTGGTCCCTAGCACATGTATTTTGTGCTTAGATAAGTAATTCCTTCCAGCCCAGGAGAACCTTGTGTGTTTCGGGTATACTTTGTGTGATTTCCCCCATTTACACATGATTTCAGATGAGACAGTAATTTTTCTTGACATTAACTCAGAGCCTGAAAAGCCAACAGATTCACCAGGATATGAGAGAATAATGGGATTTATTATACTGAAAGGTGAAATAGAGTGTATACAGTTCAGTTAGCGATAACTAGTGCCCTTTGGCAACTATACTTAATACCAAAATAATTTAAGAGAGATACAGACAATAGTTGAGCCAGTTACTGGTAATTTGGCAGTTCAAATTTAGGAAAAATCACTGGCAAGTGCACCGTGATCCCTGCATTCTGTGGTATGCATGAGGTGAGAGTGCCTCTGTCAGCACAGCAGCACATGTGCTGATCTGTGTGTTGGAACCCCTTCTAGACGTAGAGAAGAGAATTTATGATATGCAGGTGTTTTGAAAGGTAGCTTTTAAAGTTTTCAATGTAGACTTTACAAAGAAATCCTTGACTCTGTAGTCCTTTAAAATCCCATTCTGGGGAACCAGCAGTTAGCGTAATGGCTATGTCGCTGGACTCCCACGTAGTCGACCGCGGTTCGTGTCCCGGACCCGGTGGCTTAAATCTCACACCGGGCGCGTGTGCGTGCGTGCCCAAGATCCCGAGAGGAGAATGGAGGAGAAGGGATTGCAGCGTGGCCATCCCCCCTGGGGGGTGATTTCTCGCTTTCTGTCTCTGTCTCTCTCTGTCTGTCTGGTGAGCGCACGCGCCCTACAGTGAAAATCTCTCCAAAAAAAAAAAAAAAATCCCATTCTGTTTTTTTTTTTAATTCTTTTTAAATTGTGATTTGGTTTACTCAGTTGCACTTCCTGATAAAGGTTGGTATTAGGACTATTTTACGTAATATTCCGATCTAGGAATCAATTCCTTTTTTTATTAGGAAAAAAAAAAGTTTATTTCTTCCAAGGGAAGAAATAAAGAAATATTTCAGTCAAGGACAGACAATCAAGGACAGATAGTTTTCATACCACAGTTTACCCCAGTCTCAGCCAGCGTAGATTATAGGCATGGGTGCTGTTTGTGCCTGACATACTCAAAGAGCTCCCAGGACACAAACCCAAGACCTTTCTTTGCCATGTGGGTTCAGCTGCATTACTGTCACACCACTGCCTGGCCCTCAGAAAGCCGCTTTTATTATTGTTGTGTTTATTGTTTTAATTCCTGGTATTTGAATAGTGCTTACAAGCATCTTAATTCCTCCTCACAATACCCTGTGAAGCACATAGGACAACTCAAGTGGAAAGTGAGGCTCATGGAAATCAAGCAGCTTACTCATGTGGTATCAGCTGAACAGACACAGGAACCACAAGAGAATCAAGCCTTTGACTGCCTTCCTAATA